TCGCATTCTCCCTCCTCCACGTCGACCTCATGCTCATCCTCCTCACGGTCGTCGTCGTCCTGTTCGTGCAACGTTTCGTCAATCATTGAAGGCGTTCGAGTGCATGTGTTACGCCCATTCGCTCTCAGCTTGATCACCTCGTGCTGAGGTGTCAGGGTCTCCGGGATGTTGGTGTAGATGTTGGCCTGCATAATCTGCATCTTGGCGGAGGAGGCGCAGGTGGGGATGAAGCGCTTGAACTGCAGCCCCTCCTGTGCCTGCACCTGTACCGATGCGATCTCTTTCCCCCGGATCAGCTGCATCCCGGCTGCTGAGGCGCTGGGGCCCGGCGCCGGCGACTTGTAGTGCAGGTTTGTGTTGTTCACCTTCGTTCCCCCGGCCAGCAATGTCATGGCGTTGTGCTGGCGACTATAAAGCTGCTCCGAGCTGGCGTCGCTCAGGCTTTGATGGATCTGGAGCTGCATCTGAGGCATGGTCTGGCGCTGCAGCTCAAAGTTGTTGCGCTTTGCCAGTCGCTTCTGCTTCTTGAAAAATTTCCGGGCCACGTTGATCTGGTTTGGATTGTAAAAGATCTCCGCCGAGGGGATGAGATCGTGACTGGAGCTATGGAGCAGCGCGTTCAGGCTGTGAGGGGCAGCTGCAGCTCCACTTACGCCCACCAGTCCCACTCCCACTCCATTGCCGCCCACTGCTCCTGCCCCGCCGACTCCCTGCTGGCTGTTCGTGTTGTTCATGATGGTCACTCCAGTGACGCCCAGCAGCTGCTCCTGCTGACTGCGCGTCTGGCTCCGTGTCTGACTGTGCATGCTGCGAGAGCACTGGCTGTTGGAGCGGGATCCGGCCGAGTTGTTTGCGTCATACAGGCTGCCCCCTCCCGGGTTGGCCTTGTACGCCACAATCGAGGCTGTGCCGGCCCCGATGCCAATGGCAGGACCTTGGCCATTGCCAAGATGCGCGGATCTAGACTGACTACCGTTATTGTAGGTAACCAGCTTGGGTTTGGTTGGACGGGCGCGGTGTAGCGACCACGCACGCCGCGCATCGTTCCGGCTGAGGTTGTAGAAGAGCAGCAGAAAGAGACTCAGGCATGCGGAGCACCCGGCGAAGCTGAGCACAAATATCTGGTTGCCGCTATTCACGTAGAAGGCGGCCGAAAGCCAGACGCCGGCGAAGAGAAGCAAAAACATGAAGTGCCCCCGAAGATGCGACATATTTGAACACTCAAAGTCGTCGACGATGCTGCTCAAAGGGTTGCTTAACGTGCTGTACTGCTCTTGCAGGTGATCCTGCAGCTGGAGACTGCTGGCCTCCTTCCGGGCGGCTGCAATAACGGTGGCGGCGGCAGCACCGGTGGCACTTCCATTGGCATCCAGCCAGTCCAGATCGATGTGTTCCGTGGCCTGAGTGTTGTTGTCCGAGTACTGGCGCTGGTGCTTCTGCTGGTGCTGGAGCACTCTTAATTCCTGCTGGTTTAACTGGTAGTAGATGCACAGGGACAGGATGGCGATAAAGATCACTAGTATTCCGGCCGGCACGAGCACTGCGTTTAGGGTGGTGGGGCTGTGCAGGAAGCAGTAGTTGTAGGCGGCGTATTCGGCTAGATTTACGGCACTGCTAATGCCGCATATGAGCAGAGCGATTCCCCAGCCCACGAGGTAGATGCCCAAGATGGGCTTCCTTTGTTGCTCTCTGTCGCGGTCACGGTCACGGTCGCGCTGCAGCTCCGTCTCCTGGCTCATTCGGCCTTGACTGGTGGAGCTGGACTTGGTCAGACGCTTGTACATGCTGCTTAGGCTCACGCACACCCACAGCAGCACGCAGAGGCTGAGGTAGTGCATCAGCAAGCCGAAGAGACGGCACTGCGTCTTGCTGGCCGTCTGGAAGATGCCAAGAACGAAAGTGAGGGCGAGTACGGCCACTGCCAGCCAAGTATTGACCAGGGCGTGCCTCTGCACCCGGTTCATGCGTATGGAAAACCCGAACACGACGAACGTGACAATGTTTACCGCACAGCAGGCAAATAGCAGAGCGCATCCCGCATATATGGCTACCGGCGGGTGGTGGAAGCGGGCACCCGCCTCTTCACTGCGGTAGTCATTGAGGTACGCGCTGCGCTGCAGCAGCCCGAAGTACCCTATGCGGCTGCAGCTGAACATGACCAGGGTGAGGTGCTGATAGTGCTGCTGGCACACCAGCGGATTCCATTTTTGCTCGACGGCATCCCACCACGCCGGCTGGGGAGCGCTAAGCTGGTGGTGGTACGGATGGGCCCGCAGCATGACCGTGATCCTATGCTGGTACACATCTTCCCTCCCGTTATCATTTAGATCGAGGTCGAGATCGAGACCGAGCTCGGGCGTGGACCCGGACGTGGCCGTTTGAAACTCGAGCGACTGTCCCTCGCTGTTGTAGGCCAGGGCTCCGATGATAGCCGAGGAGAGGGTTTCGTTGAAGGCACCCCTCAGATTGGGCAGCAGCTTGGCGTTCCTGTGTAGCGAGATCATGATCCTTAGGTTTTTGGAACTATAGCTGACAGTGGAGCTGCCGCTTTTGGAGATGGAGCTATTGCTGATTACGTTGTAGGGCAGCTGGATGGCGGCGTCGATGTCGCCGTGCTCGTACATGGGTATTGTGTCATTGGAACTGTTGCACTGAAAGCCACGCGGACTCTTCTCCAGCCACACACATGAGAGGCTGAAGAACGAATCCAGGCTTATGTTGAAGATCTCAACGAAAATGTTGCGCTGCTGCACGCCCCCGCCCCTCCACGGGGTCAGCAAGTCAACAGGCGGCAGCAGGTCTCGGGAATGCGTACTTTCTTGTGTCTGGGTCTGGGTGTGGGTGTGGGTCTGGGCCTTAGCCTGAGTCAGGGCCAAGCGCATGGCCGAAGACTCCACAACGTACAGCAGTCGCAAGCTCGTGCCCTGCTCCGCCTGTGCGTCACGGAACAGGCGAAATGGAATATTAAGCAGCTGCGAGACAATATCCATGAGCAGATGGCTAATCTCCTGCTGTTGGGGCACCTCCCCCTGATCCAGGTACTTGACCAATGTTCGAGCTATGTACTCCAGGTCCATGGGGTCTCGGATCTTGTTCAGCTGCGTTTGCATCTGCGTGAAGTTGTGCAGACGGCGGGCGATTTCCACTGCGTTCTGTCCCTTGGTTAGCGTCAGGTTTACCTTGGCGAACTGCTCCAGGATGCGCGTGGTCTCGCTCACGTACACACAACTGTCCGTGTTCAGGTGGAGCCACTCACCCTCGGGGCTGCACTCGTAGGATGCGCGTCTGTGCTGCGACACATCGGTGGGCTCCTCCACGCACTCCTGCAGGACAGTCTCGCCGCGCATGGTGCGCGGCCAGTGGTAGGTGCCTTTGTTGGTGTTCTCCACTTTGGCCTCACAATAGAGCGTGCCCTTAGCCACCACATGGAGGACAATGGACTGAGAGAGATTCGCCTGCTGGGAGCGCAATGTGCAGTCCCACATCCCCGTGTGGTTCTGGGTGAGGCTGGCTATGCGTAGAATGGACTTGAGGATGCCCGAGTCGGTGGACTCGTGTGTCTCCAGGTTAACATTTTGGAAAACCTTGGTTGGGTCACGATAGACAATGTCTTCAGTCGAGTTGTGCACTCGAATTCTGTCCGACCAGCCCCAGAAGACATACGCTCGCGTGGGCAGAACCTCCGACTCGCGCGGTGCTCCGATGGCCACCCGGGGCGCGAAGCACTTCAGCTGCAGCTCGTCGCCCTCAAAGGCCACCTGGTTTTGGCTTGGGACAAGTTCCAGCAGCGGCTGCAGCAATGTTTCGCAGTGGAAGTCGATGCCCACCTTCAGTTTCTTCAGCGGCATGCCGCGGAAGTTGATGGGGGAGTCGCACTTGGGGGCAGGCTGGAGACGAACGTCCCGGGAATTTGACCAAGCAATTAGCCAGATCAAACTGCAGTCGCAGGCCAAAGGATTGCTGGACAGATCCCTGTGCCGAACATGAGAAAGCATGAGAAAAATGTTCTAATCAGAAATCGACTGGGATACTTACAACTGCTTCAGCTTGGGCATTTTCTCGAAGGCTCCCTCGTAAATATGACTAATCGAATTATTGGCCAATTTGAGCCTTTCCACTAACGCCAGGCTGTCGCCAAAGGTTTCCTTGTTCAGTTCGGTTAGGAGGTTCGAAGACAGGTCCAAGCGCCTAAGCTCCGTAAAGTCCCTAAAGTCATCTTCAGTGATGTGAAAAATCAAGTTATTGCTGCCATTGCTGCAACACAAGATGTTCAATGAAAAAAAGCAAGCGAAAAGCAAGCCTTATTGCCAACGGATTATTAACTTACATGCTGACTATGTTGTGCACGTCCTCGCCAAAATCTAGATCTCTCCATTTTACAATTTGTTGATCATCGCATCGCACGCGCAGGGTGTGAATATTTTCCGAAGTGTTCTTGCAACTGCATTTCTTGTGACACATTGTGGCCTGGGCTTGGGCCTGTGCCTGAGCCAGAAGAGGCTGCGTCGACAGCAAGAAGAATATGGCGACAACGGGGCACAGCAGGAAAAGGAGTGCGCTGCGAGCACACCCCTCTGCATTATTATTGGTGCTCATTAGATCTTCTTACATGCTGGGCGCAACACACAAACATTTAATTGATTAATTAAGTGTTGAACATATGCATAATGCATAATAAACAAAAACACATCCAATGGTTTACAATAAATTAGCCAGTGTTGCTCTACGGCTGAATGATCTATTTCGGTAAAAGTAGTGATGGTAAACTAGCGGCTGTTCTACCGATATCTCATTTCCAATTGTCGCTATCGATATTTACAATGCAATATAATTTAAAAAAATATTTATTAATACATATGTACTTTAAGAGACAACATGGAAATTAATGAACTATCGAATAATAATGAATTCATTTCCATATTAAGTCTTCTAAAGATGACAAAAAATGTTTGAATCCCACCCACTCGATATAATTAGGTGTTGGGGACACACTGTCGCCAATTGGGCTAGTGCAAACATTGTCGCAATATTGTCTTTATAAATTGACGTGTCAGAAATTGATGTTAAAAAAGTTCTGCACATAAACCGATTTATTCAGCCATAAAGTGGATGGAGTTCTTGAAAAGTGGCATCAAGACCGTCTTAGGCGGCACAGAGCCAGGGCAACAGCCCAGCGCTGCAGAGACGGTTGAGAAGCTGGTGGATCGAATTTACTCCTCTACGTTGCTGGAGGACCGTCGAGATGCTTGTCGGGCCCTCAAGGCGTTGTCGCGCAAGTACCGCATCGAAGTCGGCGCCCAGGGCATGCCACCTCTCGTTCAGGTGCTCCAAAACGATGGGCAGGATACAGAGATTATAAGCTATACCCTGGACACCCTCTGCAATATTGTCACCAGCGAGGAGTTCGAGGAGGAGGCTGACAACCCCACTGTCTCGGTGAATGTCGGCGGCCAGTTTACGGAGATGTTCATCAAGACTCCAGAGAATGTCACCATGGTAATGGGCTATCTGGACGAGTACGATTTCCGGGTGCGCAGAGCAGCCATTCAGCTGATCACCTTGCTAATATCAAACAATACGCGCGAGCTGCAGGACCTTATCCTCGTCAGCCCCATGGGAGTCTCCAAGCTGATGGACCTTCTAACAGACAGTCGAGAGGTCATTCGCAACGACGTCCTTCTGCTGCTCATCGAGCTGACCAAGGGAAACTCGAATATACAGAAAATTGTGGCCTTCGAAAATGCCTTCGACCGTTTGTTCGAGATTATCCGAGAGGAGGGCTGCTCCGATGGCGGGATTGTAGTGGAAGACTGCCTCATACTGCTGCTGAACCTGCTCAAGAACAACTCTAGCAACCAACAGTTCTTCAAGGAGGGCAGCTATATCCAGCGCCTGGCCCCCATGTTCGTCCTGGCCGAGGAAGTAGAGGAGGCCGGCTGGTCCCCGCAGAAGATGTCAAATTTCCACTGCCTGCTCCAGGTGGTGCGCGCCCTGGTCACTCCTAGCAACCAGCAGCAAGTAGTCACCGCCTGCCAGCGCGTCATGCAGAAGTCCCAGCTGCTAAACGCTCTCTGCGAAATCCTTATGAGTAGCGGAGTGCCGGCAGACATTCTCACGGAGACTATCAACGCCGTCGCGGAAGTAATTCGAGGCGATCGCGACAACCAGTGCGAGCTCAGTCGTGTGATGGCCCCCAGCAATCCACCGCGCCCAGCCATCGTGGTCCTGCTCATGTCAATGATCAACGAGAAGCAGCTGCTGGCTCTGCGCTGTGCAGTGCTCTACTGCTTCGAGTGCTTTCTGTACAGGAACGCCGATATTCAAAGGGCGGTGGTGCAAACCCTGCTTCCATCGAGTGCCACAGATGTGGGCTCATTATCGACGGGCCAGTTGCTCTGCACCGGGCTCTTCTCCAGTGATGCCCTAGCCAACTGGTTCTCGTCGGTGGCCATCATGCACACCCTTGTGGAGAACGTGGCGCTGAAGGAGGAGCTTCTGCGCGTTCTGCTAGCCCCGACGGGGGGACAGCGCCCCAACACTCTACTTGAGATGTGCACCAATTTGATGCAGCGAGAGCGGACTCGCCTGCAGAGCAAGGTTGGGCTGCTAATGCTCCTCAGCGTATGGCTAGCCCATTGTCCTGGCGCGGTGAAGGCTCTGCTCGAGACGCAGGGCACCACAGTCTATCTGACCGCCCAGCTTTGCTCCAACGAGCATGACGAGCGTGAATTCCTGTTTCAGGGCATGTGCGCCTTCCTCATGGGTCTTTGCATCCAGTTTAACGACAACTCTCTGCCCAATCAACGACGCGAGGACATCAGCCAGCTGATCATCAAGCGCATTGGCCAGGAGACCTTCTGCAACAAGTTGGGCGAGGTCTCGCGGCACGAGGCCTACAGCCGGGCCTGCAAACAGGCCCAGATCAGGGCCAAGTGCGCCGGCGAGCTTCTGCTCGACTATGAATACTGCAAACTCTATAAGGGCCTGGAGGCATTGATTGCCAAGCTGGTAAGCGGGTTCGACGTGGATGGAATAGAGCTCACTGAGCTGACCCTCAGCTCGGAAGCCTCGGCTCTGGTGTCCCAGTACAAGGGCATTATCCGCGGCATGGACGCCCAGATTCAGACTCTCCAGCAGTCTGCGAAGGAGCTGGACCAAGAAAACGTCGAGTTGAGGGAGAAGCTGAGGAAGGAACAGTCAGTCAGGGCTCAGCTCTCTGATCAGAATACCCTGCTAAAGGCTCAGCTTGGAGCAACGGGCCAGACTTCATTTGAAAGGCAGGAGACATCCCAGGACAGAGAGGAGGAGCTGAACGCGGCCAGATATCAGGCCAACATGTACTTTGCGGAAAATATTCGGATCAGCAAGGAAATGGAGATGCTACGCCAGCATCTCGCGTCCGAAAAACAGCGAGCAGATGCTGCCCAAGAATCGCTTCTGGTCACCCAAAAGGATCAAGAGGATCTCCTCGAGCTCCTCGCCGACCAGGAGCTCAAACTAGCATGCTTCGAGAAGAACACGACGTCGAAATCAACTGAGAACCAGAGCCAAGCCCACTCCGAAACTTCGTTGCTGGAGGGGGTGCCAAGCGAAACTGCCAGCAGATAAAGACCACCACCATATTCAGATCGGAATTAAGATGGAAGAGATTTTGACCATGCATTCAAAGTCAGAACGATTGCTTGACTGTCGCCAACCTCAATGAACATGCATACATATGTATAAACATACATTTTATTTGTTTTTATTGATACACTTACCAACCTACATACATACCTACAAAAATATATACATACATACTGATAAATGCGTGCTTAGAGCGAAATGCAATCGGATTTGGAATATTTTCATTGGCGGCGCTTGAAAAGCGTTTCGGAATAGTATTACCACTAAGCAAACAACTGAGTTGTACCACTAAGCAAACAACTCATAGAGACGTCAAACGGACCTAAAACTGGCTGCCTAATCAGTATAGTGGATTGACTCCCAGTGCCTTCGGTTCTTGGTGAGAGAGCCTTCGGCTGAGAGAGTTTGGCGTTGGCTCTCTTGAGCATTGAACGCAAAGCGACTCTCGCAAAAACAAAGTTTGGTTTTTCCTTTTCAAGTCTGCTTCGTAATTGCTTGTGTGCGGTGACACATATGTACATACATAAATGATGGCAATGCGTGTTTCTATTTTCGACTTCATATGCGTTTTCATTTTTAGCGCTTGAGACGTTTGTTACTTTTGTGTTGCTGCTGAGCTCACATACCCTTCCTTCAAACTTGTGACTTTATGAAGAAGCTTGCCGCAATAAAAATAAATTGATCTTGCGTATCCTCTCTATGCTCATATATTTCTTAAATACAGTTAGGACGAAAGGGATAAACAGTTATAAACATCTAAATATGTACATATACAAATAATGAATAACGGCAATTGAATTGGCGTTGCAGATATTTTCCATTAGAGTATTCATCATACAATGTGTGAATAAATATAGAGTTATAAGGAGACATGTCGCTTTCGTAGTCTTTTGTGTGCGGTTACACATGCATACATTTTTAAATACATACATTGATGATGATGGCTCTTTCTGTATCACCAATTCACCAATTTATATCATTGCGAGTCATTTCTTTGCTAGATTTCGTTGCGACAAGTCGGTTTCAAGCGTCCCTTTGCGATATTGCGAAATATTATTATAATATTCTTATAGTACATATGAACATACATATCTCATTTATATAAATATCCTATTATAACCTACATACATATATACACATCTTATTCAGTTCCTATTATTCAATTATAATATAATAACATACCATATCCATATACTATTCAAATCAAATTCAAATTAGATACACACACATATACATACAAAGTTATATATATTATAGCTTACGTACTTATTCATAAATAAAAAAAAAATTGTATAATATTAAAATGGAAATACCAAAAAAGGACCGTAGACAAGCTGGAGCCAGGTGTATTATGGAGTCCTGCTTGCAAGGATACAGGAATGCCAGCGAGCATTTTCCTGTACGACTTTTCAAATTTCCGAAAAACGAAAGTGTTCGGCGTCTTTGGGTTACAAAATGTAATATTGATCCCGACGTTAATTTAAATCTAGCGCGTATTTGCCATAAACATTTCGAAAGAAAGTATTTCGGGGAAAAAAAACTGAAAATCAGGAACTGTGCCAACGCTAAGCTTGTTTCACGAACGGAACATTATTAATGACCTTCCTCAGGCCACCGATGATAATATGTTTCAATTTCCGGATCATATCGACCAAATTTTGTCTCCAGACTGCTGTATGCTCACACTGAAACCAGTGTATTTAAAAAATGAGCCTCGCCCCCTTCCGCCTCCGCAAAAGGGCGAAAACCTCCCAAATCTACAAATTTAAAGACAAAAGAAAACTAAAAAAGCCATTTCGTAGGGATATCTTCGAATCAGATCATATCTATTAGATCACCAAATTGGGATCCGATTGGATCATTAGTATAGCCACACTGAAGAAATTAATTTCCAGTGGCTAAACCCACCCCGTCCCGCAGCTTATATTAGTTGTTTGCATTTTCTGCTTCACACACTCTGCTTCGCGCAGTGTGAAACGTCTCTGCCTCTGCCGCGTCTATGCAGTGACTCTGCAGTGTATGGCTCTAGGGGAGGGTGGCGAGCTAAAGGAGCGTGTTGGTGTGAGAAGTGTTGTAGATGTAGATGACAGATGAAGAAACAATTTAAAATTTGACAAATAACCGCTAAGGTGCAAATGTAGTGCCGGGTATAAAAGTTGTGACGCGTAAGAAGCGTCTCACAAGTGCCTTCTCGTTAAAGTTAAAATTTCGTAAAATATCCTTTACAAAAATCAACATTTTTTCATTTCAAAGCTTAATACTTCCACGGTAAGCTAAAAACACAAAACTTTTGGGGACCCTTTATAGAATGACTAAGTTTATAACAACCAGATGTAAAATACTTGAGTTGTGTAAAAAAAAGGGGCACTACCTCGAAAAAAAACTTTAAAAAATATACAAGATTTTAAAAATTCGATATAAAAAAGTTCTGTATCAAACCATTTCTAAGCCCCATATCGTTCATAAAGAGTTGGTCTGGATCGAAGCGGCAGGCTCCCTTCTGCCCACTAAAATCGGGAAAATCTGCTTAAAATATAATAATATAAATTTAATAATCGGCGACTCATCCTTTTCATTTTGATTCATCGAATCGCTAGAAAATTCTGTTTAAGGGTATTTTGAATATTTTTCTTCAGATATATGTACATACATATTTACATACATAAATACATACAAACATGCGTAGCAAGATAATATTTTGCTCCTGAACAAAAATATTATTTAACTCTAGACTTTAGATTTTTCAGAGACTGCGAAAGGACTTTTCCGATTTGCATCCGCTGTGCAAATGTGCTGGAAGCATTCGTTAAGATCGAACGCTTTAAAGAGGCACGAACGCTATATTTACATATGTACATACATATGTACACAAATGCTGTTGTTCATTTATGAATACTGTGAGTTCATGCAGGTCTCTAGTACACACGAGTAGAAACGTTTGTGAGACGCATTTTCGACCACAAACACAGTGTGCCCTATTTATTCTTCTATTACCGGGAATAAAAACACATTGGTAATGAAAAGAAAAGAGATGAAAAATAACTATGTATGTTTAATGAACTTTTGTAAATTAAAACGAGAAGGAACGTGTTAGACGCTTCTTACGCGTCACAACTTTTATACCCGGCACTCAGTACTACTTCTGCACCTTAGCGGTGTTTTGTCAAATTTAACATTTTTTCTTCATCTGTCATCTACATCTACAACACTTCTCACGCCAACACGCTCCTTTAGCTCGCTCCCCTTCCCAAGACCCACAGCCTGTGGACTCGCAGCAGAGGCAGAGGCAGCGCCCGCGCACAAAAAAAACAAATATAAGCTGCGGGACGGGGTGGGTTAAAAGTCGGCAGAGGCAGAGGCCGAGTGAAGCAGAAGCAGAGTCTGAATGAGAGAATGTGAAAATAATAACAAAAGCTGCGGGACAGGGTGGGTTTAGCCACTGGAAATTAATTTCTTTATTGTGGCCATAATAATGATCCAATCGGATCCCAATTTGGTGATCTGATATATGGCCATTCCCCACGGAATGGCGTTTTTAGTTTTCTTTTATCTTCATAATTGTAGGTTTGGGAAGTTTTTTGTCCTTTTGGTGGGGCGGAAGGGGGCGGGGCTAATTTTTGAAATACACTGGTTTCAGTGTGAGCATACAGCCGTCTAGAGCCAACATTTGTTGGCTCTAGCTCTTATAGTCTCTGAGAACTAGCCGACAAACACGACGGACAGACGGATAGACAGACATGGCTCTATCGACACGGCTATTGATGCTGATCAAGAATATATATACTTTATGGGGTCGGAAACGTTTCCTTCTGTGCGTTACATGCAACCGTTATTCACACAAATATACCATATTTAATCTTCGAGCACCATGATCGATTGAGCCATGTCTGTCTGTCCGTCCGTCTTGTTGAGCGCCTGGATCTCAGAGACCATAAAAGCTAGAACCACCAAATTTTTCATCCAGACTTCTGTATGCTCACACTGAAACCAGTGTATTTCAAAAATTAGCCCCGCTAACGAACACATAATAATATACGGTCCCGTCATCATTTGAGACTAGGGGGCACTAGACTAGTTTGTTAGGAACGAAGCAGCTTGGGCTGCGGGCAGCTCAACAATTTCATGGAATCAGATGTCATGCCGGACTGTGGCATAATCCTATACCACTAAGCAAACAACAGTGCCTATACGCAACGGCAGGAATGAAGAAAACTTCCTTTTCTGCATTCACATGGATCTATTCTATTCAATATTTTCGGCGATAATCACTTCGTTTACGTCATCTCAGCTCATTATTCTCACTTTGCGTGTGCACATTTTTCACAGGAAAAAAAAGAAACTGAATACAGCAGTGTATACCATTTTTCACATTTATTAACATAAATTGGTACAACTTTATTTTCTGTTTTTGTAGAACATCATCTACTCGTGCTTACACACAGATGGGGTCATTTGCTGCATTTACTTCTTGTCGCTTGAGATAGAACTCTTCGACTCCCGAATAGAGGCAGAGCGACGACGCTTGGCCTCCTCGCGCTTAGCCTTAGACTCCTTCTTGCGCTGCACCAACAGTTTGGCGTAGTCGGCGGCAGCCTCCTTGGAGGCAGTCTGACGCTTCTTCTTCAGCGCGATACGACGGTGTTTCCTCTGCAGCACGACAGGGGTGATCAGACGCTGGATCTTGGGGGCCTTGGAAGTAGCTTTCTTGTTGTCCTTGGCGGGCAGGGGACGGCGCACAACGAAACCGCGCACATCATCCTCCTTGCTCAAGCTAAACAACTTGCGGATCTTGCTGGCACGCTTGGGACCCAGACGACGGGGGATGGTAGTGTCGGTCAAACCAGCAATATCCTGCTCGCCCTTCTTAATGACGACCAGGGCCAGGACAGACATGTTGGCGTCCACAATGCAACCGCGCACAGACTTTCGCTTGCGCTCGCCAGTGCGGCGTGGGCGGTAGCAAGAGTGGCCCTTCTTCAGCAGTAGACGCACTCGACCTAGTCAAAAAAACGTTTATTGACAATCAGTAAGTGCCGGCTTGAGGGATTCAACAGTCTCTTACCATGGGTCAGGACACCCTGCTTCATGGGGAAGCCCTGCTTGTCGTTGCCTCCGGCAATACGGAGCTGGTAACCCTTCCACTCATCACCGAGAATATCGGCTTCCACAAGCTGGCCCATACGCTTCTCATAGAATACACGCAG